TAGCTTAAATATTCAGCTTTTATAAAATGTATATATTTTTGTAAAATTATTACGTCGTATGCTTTTTAGCTGCAGAATAAATAACTCTTTTTTTTTTCAAAACATTTTTTATGGAATTTTTTTTTTTTTACTTAATAATATTAATTAATGAAACTAATAATATTAATTAATAAAATAAATAAAATTAATTCATAAATTTTCTAATAATAATTAATAAAATTAATAATATTAATTAATAAAATTAGTAATTTAAATAATAAAATTAATAATATCAATTGATAATATTAGTTAATAAAATTAATAATATTAATTAATAGCATTAATTAATAAAATTAATAATATTAAATAATAAAATTAATAATATTAATTAATAAAATAATACTTTTTGTGTTACTAATAAGCATAAAATAGTTGTTAATTTTAAAACCTTTTTTTTTATTGCATAACTTAATAAAATTAAGTATTATCTTTCAAATAAGTTATTGCAATACTATTTTGAGCGTAATGTCAAATAAAATGATTTCAGATGACAGCGTATTTAAAGTACTGTTATCAGTTAAAAATTTATTCATATAGTTTAGTTTATTCAGTAATCAAATTTTACAAAAAATGTTATAAAATTTGGCTGTGCTCGGCACCAGGCCTTGCTACGCTGACATGCTTGATACATATAATTCTATTACTTGCTGCAACAGTGACTTGAAAATATTGACAGGTTTTGAGTTGATGGTGTTACTGGAAAGTGCATTCTATGGTGTACAAACACAATTTGTAAAAAAGTTAAGTCTCTCTATACAGTTTTTGACTTGATTTGTTGAAGCTTGAACTCGTGGTTACATCTTTGGTTATACGACGTTGATTTAGAAAAGGGATAACGTTGTCGTACATAGAAATCTACTTGTTCAAGATTTTTATTAATTTTGAATTATTCTATGAAATCCTCTCTTTTCTAATCTCTCTTCTAGTGTTGTCATTTCTAGTGCTTCTAATTTTTTTTCATAAGTATGGTGTCTCGGGGAGTTTATTAATTTTGTTGCACGGTGTTAAATTTTCTCTAATTTGTTGATATCGCCTCTAGGATGTGGTGATCAGGCTTGGATAGCGAACTCTAGATGAGGTTGAATGTATGATGTGTATAATATTCCCTAGAGGAATACACCGCGTCCTCTTAATGCTTTTTTTAGCACACCTAGTTTCCATTTTGCTTTTGCTGTTGCATCTACTTGTGATTTTAATCTCAAATTATCAGACACAAAAGTACCAAGTCACACTCAACTGCGTTACATTTTAATAGATAACGAAGTCCATCATTTTATATAGTTGGAAATAATATAGTTGAATATTTTTGCAGTTCATGGTGGTTCAGTAATTTGAGACTTGAAATACATTGTTCGATATGTATATTATTAATATAAATTTGGTTTATAATTCGCGGGTGTCGGCATAATCTCTAATAATGATTTTTACAGGTTTTATATGGCGAAATTATTATATGTATTTTATCCTTAATGGTTATGTAATAATTGGGTATCAGTCAGACTAGATTAGTGTTACAAAGTTGTTTTAACATGACTACATTTTAAAATATCTGTTTTTAAGATTTGTAAATGTAACTCATATTTTTAAATAGTTAAAACATGAAAAATATTGTTATCTATTCATATATAGTACAAAAAAACTTAATGTTAACTGATCCTATGGTTTGAGATGCAGAGCTGTAGCAATGGGTGAGCGAGACGTGCAGTCGCACAGAGCAAAAATTTTGCATAATTTGGAAACTATATTTATATCTATACATATATAATATAAATTATATGTATAAAGTACATTAGTTTAAACTTTGATGCATAATAAAATTACTAAAATGTAATTACTAATTACAAATCATTATATTATTTCATTACTTATATATAAATAGTTATTATATAGATATAATTTTTGCTTCTTCATCCCAATTTACATATTTAGCTTCTGCACAGAGTCGGATTCAGGAATTTTTGGTGGGAGAGGGGGGATGATGAAATAGTTTTGTATTTTGTACCATATTTGCGCCTTCTGAAAAAAAAAAGTTCTCAATTACAAAGATGTTTTTAGGACTTCCAGATTCAAGTAGGGGGAGGGAGGGGGTCCAGAAAAATGAAAATGTAAGGCCTAATTTAGAGAGATTGAACCTTAAAATTTCCTTGCTTTAAACTTAATACATAAAGTAGTCTATAATTTGTACAACATTTTAATTTAAAAAATCTCAAAAAGTAATAATTCCTGTTTTTGCCCTGAGCCCTTCATATTTAGTGCTTTCATTTGTTATATTACGAGTTGAGAATGAGTAAATGTTACATTCTAGTCTTCGCTACTTTTTAATAGATGCTCATATTTTTTGTCGTAGATTCACAATTGACACATCTTACATTTTTTCCCATACTTAAAAAAGTTATTGAAATTATACTAAAAAAAAATTATTTTTGAAAAAATAAACTTTTTTGATTTTATTTGGAAACAAACTAATATTTATTCTAGATAATACTATTAGGTACATTACCTGAAATTTTCAAATTAATTGACGAATTTTTAGCTATGATATTTGAAGTGAAGAAAAAAAGACGGAAAAAGTGTTATAAAACCATTTTAAAAATGATTGTTTAAAACAGGGTGTGGAGTTGTAAAAAAAAATACCGACTCCGACTCTAATTGTTAAAATTTGGGGTCGGAGTCGGAGTTGGAGTCCGATTCCAACTCCGAATCCGACTCCAAGGCACAATTTTTTAAAAATTCTTTGAATTCTTTAAAAGATATTACTCGATAAACAAAAATTTTTTTTTTACCAAATGTATGAAAATTTCTTTGAAGATTAAATATTTTGTAAATGCACGTGCATTACCGAGAAGCTTCCGCTTAAAATGTCGCGACTCCACGACTCCGACTCCATGACTCTGACTCCACGACTCCGACTCCACGGCTCCGACTCAGGACACGGTTTAAAAGCCACATATTCCAATCTAGTTAAAATGTAGTCAACCAAACTAACATCATTTGAGCAACATTCTGGACAGCAGAAACTTTCATTTATAAAATAACTTTAAGTCTAAAGTTGATTATTATTCTCATTTTTATAGGAAAAACTTGATTATAACTAAGCCGTTGCTAAGGACTCATAAGTTTATGCACCTAACTATAAGGTTACATATCGCAAAATAAATAAAACAAAAACAAATTAAAAAAAAAAAATTAAATTAAAATTTTCTATTAGATATGAATGCATTATTTTTTTCAATTTTTTTTTTTTATATTTAAATTTTTTTTGTGATGAACCACCTTAATAATTTTCTACCAGCTCATTCATAATATATATTGCACCCACTAAATATTGGTGATTTTTGTCATTCGTCACATATTATGCAGCCACTATTATGCAACCACATATTAGTGGTTTTTGTCATTCATCACATATTAGGCAGCCACTAGATAATGGTAAATTTTGTCATGTAAAAAGATTTGGGCGAAAATTACTGAAACAGTTTTATGCAAAGACAAAATTCAGAAATTTATTAACAGAATGTTTCAGTCAACTGGAAGAAAAACTGTTCAGCTCATGTGAAGTTTTTTCACGCGCGCAAATAGTCACCGTATTACAAAATTGATCAGTTAAAGTTAAAAATTGCTAATATCTTAAAAACAGCATCTCAACCTGATTTTTTGTTATTTGCCTTAGCCATTGCCTTCTAAGTCTACACCAAAAACATTTAGCATCAATATACGTCCTATACCACAACCTCCAATGCCAACTTAAAAGGTACCAAAAACCAACCCTCAATTTTTTAATAACTCCGGCTAATCAAAATGATATTTTAAAAATAAGTTGTTTGAATCAGTATCCCAAAAGAAATTGTTTGAAATAGCATCGCAACAAAATACTTAGCATCCAATTTATTGATACACAGAAAAATAAGTGGACGCAAATTGCAATAAAAAAAACCTGGCGAGTATTTTTAAAGCAAGCTAGAAAATGTGTTCTTAACTCAAATGATAAAAATAAATTTATGATAAGCTAATATAATAATGATAATGATAATGATAAGCTAAAAATAAAAACCAGTTTAGTTTGACTTTGTCAAACATGGATACTGAAACATTATGTAAGAGACACCAAGTTTTATTGCATCAAAAAGTGCCGGACAAGTGACAACTAAACATCCAGAAACCTGTTAACGACAGAACATCATCACAAAATTTTTTTTATAATTGTTTTAATTGGTTTATTTTGTAATTGTTATCATAAGTTGCTTTTTAAAAAACAATTTGCTTATTGTTTCTCCCTTTCTCTTTATTGCTTATTGCTTCTCGCAAAATGTAAGGCTAAAAGAATTTTTTTTTTTTCAATTTCTGAAAAATAAAAAATTATTTATTTGAATTGCATATTTTTAAATACAACTCAAAACATTCTGCAAATTAAAGAATTTTTAAATTTGAAATCTTTTTTTCTGTAAAAAATATTTTTAAATAACTTTAACTAACTTAAGTAACTTAAAATAACTATTAACTGTTTGATTCGATTCACTCAATAATCGGTAATCATTTCACTCGATAGTCGATCATTTGTTAAGATTTGAAATTTTCATCTTATTTTTTACAATTTTGAATAATTTATGTAAAGTATATAATAATAATTGCATTAAGCTAACATAACTACGTAAAGTACGCTTGAATAGGTCTAGATTTGCACACTGCTCAAGAGTCATGCGCACCAAATCATTTCATTTTAAAAAATGTTTGACAAGCTTATAACATGAACGAAAATGAATGTGTTGCACAAACGTTATAAATGAGAGAAATGAAGTTTCATACTCTAGTATTTTTGTTAACTTTCACTATCGTAAGATCTAAAAAACATATAAAAACATTAGTAGATTCAAATGACGCTGTCGACCATTTTCAAGATGCTCTTTTTGAAGGAAATTTAGAGAAAGTAGAAAAACCTATAATAGTTAACCAGCGAGAAGCGTTTTTGAGAACATTACCTTTGAGATATACATTTGCTGCAAAGCAGTACGAACAAAAAGATAAAAATGTTTTAAACAAGAAAACTTACAGCCAACTAGGTTATGCAAAGAAAAAGTTCATTGACAAAACCAACCAAGTGACTTTACATACGGAAAAAGACAATGTTAAAAACTTTGTTGATGTTTTGTTAGGATCAGATTTCGCTTTGAAACCTTTCCTTAAAGAATATGCTGATCGTCTGGTTAATCATAGTCCGCGCTCATTGCTGAGTAATAAAAGGATTGTTATAGCTGATCCTAAACAAAACGAATTGCAGCTAGATGATGAACACAGTACATTTCAAAATGAACTTCTTGGGAGCGAAAATCAATCTAAAAATGAGAATATTACCAAGGAATACGTTATAACAAAAGCCTTATACGACGCTATAGCAAAAATTGCAGAGGTAGGCCGAGGAGGTAAAACAGTTAAGTTGAAAGTAATACAAAAAGAAAAGGAGAAAAACACTGGTTTAAGTAAAAAAACACCCAAAAAAACGCTTCAAAAGCATTCCAAAAAAAAATATATTACATTAACAAATCAAAACACTGCAGGATCAATTAAAAAAGATATTTCTATAAACAAGAGCATACCCACAGATCATTTATCACACATGATACACTATTACACTAAAGGGAATAAAATTAAAAAAGCTGAACTAATTAAAAAACTTTTGAAAAAAAAAAATTCAAATATTCCAAGTAACTTTAATTTTACGAAAATACCTGTAAAAGTTATAACACAAACTAAAAAGATATCCGAAGAACCAACAAACGATGTAAAAACTAAAAGTAAAGAAGTCCCTTTAAACGCCAGTTTTTCTGATGTTGCCGAACGTCACCAAACATCAAACGGTAACATAAAGTTTAAAGTAAATAAAATATCACACAATAAACATTTTATGAAAAAGAAAAAAGTAGAAATAAAAATGAAGAAAAAAATTAACCTCAAAGATAAAGATTTATCTATCTCAGATGGTCAACATCTTAAATCCTCTGATAATCAGTTTTTAAATACGGTAGTCGACCAATCACAAAATGAGTTTAAAAAATTCGAAGACATCAAAAATCAAACAATGTCATTCCAAGCAAATTCAAATCAAACCACACTACATCGAGCAACACTCTTTCAAGCAATACCCCCAAAAACAGCTTCTGACCAAACAATACCACTACACGCATCGTCAAAACAAGCGTTAACACATTTAGCATTATTGAACAAAACTTCTCAAACTCATTTTCGGAAGAACCAAGAAGAATTTTTGGAAGAACATAGTAGAATTAAAGTAAAAGTCAAAAATTTAAAAAATGACAACTTAAAAAAAACCATCTATCAAAATGCAGAACCTCAGGCCCTTATGAAACAAGTTATCGGAGAAAAAAAAGAGTCCTTAATCGAAAAAGTATCAGAAAAAAAAAACGCTCAAATTAACGTGTTTCATGACCTTGACTCAAAAGATATTTCATCTGTCACAAATAAGCCAATTGTTTTTCAACCTGTTTTAACTGTAGATCTAAAAGAACCCGCAATAAACCAATCAAACCTTTACGATGGATACGAGTCAGAAGTGACAGAATTTATAAGTGGTGACGGCTCTACGTTTGTACCAATTGCTTTGGCAAAACCTTCTTCTTTATTAAAAAATGATGAACAGCAAAATCAATTGGATACTGAAAAAGATGAAGAGTTAGCAAAAGTTTTTAAAAGCCAAACATTAGCATTAGAAAAATTAGGCGAATCACGTTTATTAAATCCAGATATTATGAAACCTTTACAAAATATATCTTTTAAACATCTCAGACCCGAAAAATTAGAAAAATCCCAGAAAATTAACAGTATTCATAGTAATCGCGTTCAAATTATTAAACCAAAAATAATTAGCGATGTTGAAGCTCGCCATTGTGTAGATGATGATAACCATGTAGATGGAAACCTCACATCCGGCGTCAAAGAAATCAACGAGCTCACAAAAAGTTCATTTGCTATAGGATGCGAAAATAAAAAAGAGTATAATTCGACAGAGCTTAACTCGTCTGATACCTTTTCAAGTGGCATTGATCTTGAATATCTGCAAAATCTTTTTGAGGATAAAGATATTGAAAGTTTTCAAGAAAACTATACAAGAGCAATGAAAAAAGAAGCCTTTGAAGGCATAAGAAATAAGCTCAATAATTCTTTGTCAGCTTTTCTTAAAAATTTTGAAAATGCAGGTACTGAAACGGAGATGCTAATGAGAAAAATAGTTGAAGATAAATTGAAACAAGAAGAAAGTAGCATTCGATATCAAATTGATTTCCCTAGTTTTTATCATGCAGTTGGAACAATAACACTTCCTTATGATGATTTGGTGGAACCCTTTGAAGCATGGTATGCAGGAGAGTTAAACATGAGTCGAATAGACTATTACTACGGCAAGTAATTCTTTATTTCTAAGACTTTCAAAGTTATTTTGGTAATTTTTAATCCATATATTATTTTATAAATATAATATTTATAAATGTTCTATTTTTCTCAACCATTCAATTTATTTTTCTCAACCATTTAATTTATTTTAAAATTGATTAAAACATTTAGCTTTATGGTTTCTAACTTTTTTTTTTATAAATTAACCTAAAATTTTTATAAATAAAATTTTTAGCAAGCAATTTTTTACATCAATATTTGGCAATTGTTTTGGACACAAAGTTAAATAAATAATTAAGAGAAAATGCAAACCCTCTTAAAGTTTGTAGGTTGTTTTGTTTGGAGCTTTTAAACATCAAATGTAAATTAAGAAACTGGTAAATAAATTTTTGTTTTTATAACCTATATTATAAACAGCAAAAATAAATTTTTTTTCCAGGAATGGACAAAAGTTATCAAAGAGGAGACATTGGTCCTCATGGGGTGGTTGTAAAGTTGGTTCCAGCACATTGGGGAAAACATACAGATTTAAATAAAAACAAAATTTCTTGTTGGTATAAGCAAGAATCCATATGGACAAAGAGAAGAGCGCAAACTGTTGTTCCTTTGAATGTTAAAAAATTTAAGGTTGAAAGAATAGAAAAAGTTTTCATATATATATACATATACATACATATATATATATATATATATATATATATATATATATATATATATATATATATATATATATATATATATATATATATATATATATATATATATATATATATATATATATATATATGCATAATTTATATATAAACTTTATAGTATGTAGGGGAAGAACAATTTAATGGAGTTCCAGCCTTCAAGTTTTTCTATCAAAAGAAATTCATCAGCAAAAATAATACCTATGTTTTACATGTTTCAAAAGCAAAGCCTCATGTTCCATTGAGGTATGAAATGATAGGTTATGATCATCTTTTACGATCGCATTACGATCATTACATTATCGACTACTTATCGTTTAAGCCTTGGAAGTTTGACTACACAGTGCTTCAAATACCAAAAGGTTAAAATGAAACAACTTTAATTTATTTAATTTTAAACCAAAGTTCTTTTTACAAGACAAATATATATATATATATATATATATATATATATATATATATATATATATATATATATATATATATATATATATATATATATATATATATATATATATTTGTCTTTTAATGTGTATATGAGTATATATTCATATACTCATATACACATTAAAATTTATTTTTAGAATATAAATGTTATAAAAAGCTTCGTCAGATGAAATCTCATTTTGAGGCAAACCCTATGTGGGACTTTTTACATGGAGAAGAGCCCAAACACAGAGAACGAGAGTTAACTCAAACCTTTAAAGATTTTAAAGACAAACATTCTAAAGAATACAAAGATCATACCGAAAACCACAAGCGAAAAAATATTTTCAGACACAACTCTAGGTTTGTGTCAAATACATTACCTATATATTATATAAATATATTAACCATATTTTTTAAAACATACGTTTTTAAAATACGTTTTAACATTTTCTGTATTGCAAGTGTATTTATGCAATGTGTTTCTTAAATGACTGCTTTATCTGTAATTCTCTATTTCATTTCTCACTTTTTATCCTATCACTTTTTATCTTATCAAACTCACTTTTTATCCTATCAAAAAAATAAATAAGATTTTTCTGATGTTTACACTAAACTTTTTAGCATACATTTTTTTTTTACAACTATGTCTTTAATTTTGTATTGATGTTTATAAGTCGTAACGGATTTAGAGGGAATTTAGTGACATAGTGACGGATTTAGAGGGGCACATTGCATCTAGTAAGATCCCTGTAGAGAAAAAAAACTCGTTTTAAATGTAATTTTTTATTTAATTTACGAATTTGCTATTACAATTTAAAAAAAAAATTTTTCTAACATATTTTAGGTTTATTCATTCTCACAATCGAGCAAATCGAAGTTATTCACTAGAAGTTAATCATTTAGCTGATTTATCTGAAGAAGAGTTTGAAATGTTAAAAGGACAACCAACTCTTAACACACCGCAATTTAAAAAAGAAGTGAATGAAATACCTGCCTTAAGATTAGAGATACCCAAAGCACCTCTACCTCAGAATCTAGATTGGAGAATTTACGGTAAAGAATTTTATATCTTTTTATTCTGATTTTATCATTCTATCTGCTGCATAGTTTGTAAAGATATTTTTCTAAATAAGTTACACTATTTCAACGAAACTTGTAATAATATCAACCATTTTAAATTGTCGATGAGTAAAGTAATTTTAATAAATTACGAGCTTGTGCCTTAACAAGGTCAGCAAGTATTTTATAAACAGTCAACTTTTTCAATTATACTTAAGTAATATATATATATATATATATATATATATATATATATATATATATATATATATATATATATATATATATATATATATATATATATATATATATATATATATATATAAACATTCTTAAATATAGGTGCAGTTAGCGAAGTGCACAGCCAAAGTTTCTGTGCATCTTGTTGGGCGTTTTCTGCAGTAGGAGCAATTGAAGGAGCCTATACCATATATGTAAAATTTATTTCAATTTTTTTCAAAGCATTTTAAAACGTTTATTAAAAGTTTATTTTTATGATTTATTATTATGTTATTTTTGCTCTATTAAATATCGGGTTCCTTTTTTAGAATGGAACATTAAAAGAAATGGCTGTGCAACAGCTAGTTGACTGCAGCTGGGGATACAATAACAACGGTTGCAGAGGCGGTTGGTCGTGGAGGGCATTAAATTTTGTTGGTGAGCATGGTTTAGCAACACGTGAAGCTTATGGAAATTATATTGCACAGGTATTTGAAAAATAGTAAATTGAAGTATGCTAATAAAGTTACTTTATTGGTAATTTAATTTCAGTACATTCTTGAAACATATATATTTTTTCTTGGTAAGTTTTATTGGTATTTGTATCCGATTTCGGGAGTATTAGAGAAGGGATCCTTGGCATATCAGTTGTTTTTTTGCATCAAAATTCTGGTGCTGCAGAGTAGGACAGAGTGTGCCAAAATACCCAAAACTTATTGTCAACATTACAAACTGAAAATTTATTATAATAATGAATTTCTTCATCATTATTATAATTTGTTGATTAGTGGAAATATCTAGTTAAATAAACATTAAATATCAGTTAAAACATACTTTTATGCGGTTATTGACTATTTGGTAAGTGTTTCAAAACACTATTTTGCATATTTTAACTATTTTCTTATGCTACTCTTGTTTTAAATTAATTCTGCATCTTAAATTATATTGTTTAAACCAATATTAATTTTTTCGTTAAGACTCTTCAATACAGTTTAAGTGTAATCTTTACTTTATTTTTGCTATTAACCTTTCCAGTTATGTATCAGAGAAACCATTCTCCAATGTCCTTCAACATTTGATTAGATAAATCTACATTCAATGTATGTAAATAACAATGTATCATAATATTTTCCCATTTCTTACCCTAAACAAAGTTAGAACAAAAAATGCGTATTTAAAAAATATGTATTAACTAAAAGTATTAACTAAAAAATCTTTCCATAGTTTTATAATAACAAAATTGTGTAAATATAATTATAAAAAAATTATTTTATGACAAATATTTGCGTTGAAAGGAAATGTTTTTGGCATTTATAATGATAATAATTTTCTTATCTGTTGAAAATTTTAGGCCTTTTATTGGTAATGTTAAGATTTAATAAATACTATTTATTCATTCTTAAATCTATGCAAAAAGATAATGCTAAGTATTTTAGTCAGAACGACTGCTGCTGATGAAATGCCGTTTTGTGTGTTCCTTATATCAGATGAATTGTTCTCTTAGTGTTGGAGGGTTCGAAGTTTTAAAAATTATAATAATCATCCATAACTTGGTGGTAAACATGGTGAATTAATTTGAGAGTCGCTAACATCTAAATTGTTACAGTTAAAATTACCACAATCCTACGTAACTTGATGCTTACAATGCTTACACCTACAAAGTTGTAGCAGGTGGATATTTCATTAACCATCAATAACTTGGTGTTAAAATAAGGTGAATTAATTTGAGAAATGTTCACAATGAAGTTGTTGAAATTACAAAGTAAGCAATTTAGTCTTTTTTTTGGCAAGTAAATTTCAATGTGAAACCGCCTGTGTAGAACATCAATTTATATATAAGGATATAGTTTTGAACATTATGGATAGTGCGGATTATTGAATCAACTTAATAGGCATTGGTTTAAAAAGCTTTTAAATAAATTACAATAAAAATGTTGCGTTTACAAAAAAACAACAACAGTAGAACGTTAGTTTGCTTTGCACAGATATAATGAAACAATCGAAAACAAGAGTGAGACAAGGTTAATGACTATGATGAGATAATCATAAAAAAGTTATCAAAACAATGTTTTTGATTAATAAGATTTTCTTAAAGTTGTGATCTCTCAAGAAAATAAAGATTTTATACTAAACAAAGACCCTGTTAATTAAAAAGTTAAAACTGTTAATTATGAAACAGCTGATTTAATAATCAATTGAGTTATAAATCATTATAATGGTTAACTAAATTTTGATTTCATTCCACAGGAAAATGTCAGGCAACCAACAGAGTAAAAATAGTAATAAACCGTGTGATTTTTATTTATTTTCTACTTTTATGAATTATATTCAGTAAACAGGATGTAATGGCGAGGTAATTTTTTATACAAGTTATAGCTTATTTTAAGGAGTATCATTCAGTGTTTTTGATAAGTTTGATTAACTTAAACTAAAGTGTAAAATTCTTTAAGAAAATTCTAGAAATAGGACTTTTTTTTAAAATTGACGATTGTGCCTTCCCCCCCCCCCCCCACACACACTTCGAAATCCGTGTCGTCGGCCCTGTGTCTGCCATCTATTTTTGGCCATATACAACCATATATGGGTTCGGGGGATTTCAAAATTGAGAGGCTTTGGAAAATAAAGTAATACACTACAATTCCCAAAAGGATATAAATTGGATATATAGTTTGAATTAAACCTATTTTTGCTTTTTCATTACCATTTCAACCTTCAAAACTACTTGAACCATTTTTGGTTGGTATAATAATTAGTATTATAATTAATTTAAATAAAATTAATTAATTAATGTAATAATTAATTAATGTCGTTAATGTAATCGGATAAATTAACATAATATTTCCACCAATAAAGCTAATTAGACATTGTAATATGTTCATGCTGCTTTTGTTTTTTATTTAGTTTTTTAAACAAAATAAGATACGGTATCTATATTAGTATTGGAATTCCTAACATAAAAAAATTGATACTAAAGTTCCTAGGTACAAAGTTCCTGTGTACAAAGTTCCTGTGATAAATAAATAAGTTCCTGGATCGTTAATTAATAGGTGCATTATTAGTAGTGATGGATGGTATAAATCCAATATGTATAAGTTAAATGAACTTAAAAAACTTTGAGAAAAGTTTGTTAAATATTTAATTTAATTAATATATTATAAATAATTAATATGTAACAAATTAATTAACTAAATATTATTTTTGTTTATTTATATTATTTATTATAAAATACAACTTTTTAGGATTTACAGTTTAATTATGTACTAAACTTGTCTCGTTACAAAGTTGTTTTCATGACTTTAACTTTTTTCGAGTTTTTAACTTTTTTGCTTGTTTCGGTTGTTTGTGTCCCAAGGGGCACAGCACGTCCTATGAACTTGTGAAGCCCAGTAGACGCCGTATAGACGTCCCAACAAAGCTGGGACGTCGTATAAACGTCCCAGGACACGCTAGGATAATTTGAAACGTCATTGTTAAATTTAGATGGAGTAACTAAACTATATTTACAAGACGTCATTGTAAATATAGAATGGCGTCAAGTAAACTTACGGCTTTATTGTCTATTAATTACGAAAATGGTTATTGTTTTTAGGAAGGTTATTGTCATTGTGGTAAAAATGATAACTGCGATGGAGTGAAGAAAATGTCGTATCGCACAATTGAGAAAAAAAACGCAGAAAAACTTAAAGCCGCTTTAACATTATACGGTCCCGGTAGCGTAGCTGTGCAATGCGCGCGAAAAACTTTCAAGTTTTATTCATCAGGAGTTTACGATGATCCAAAGTGCAGTAAGTGAAGAAATTAAATTAAATTAAGTTTCAATAAGTTACAAAATAAAAATTAAAAACTTGAAATTTTAGCTGAAGTTACCGATCATGCCGTTGTAATTATTGGTTATGGAGTTGAAAACAATAAACCTTATTGGTTAATTAAAAACAGCTGGGGAAAACTTTGGGGTGACAATGGGTATATGAAAATTGATATGAATAACAATTTATGCGGTGTTCTTACAAATGGAGCATTAATGGTTTCATTTAACAACTGGAAGGAGAGCAAAACTTTTCCGTTTGAAAAAATGAAAAAAAGTCAACCTACAGTAAGTGTAACAAACCAAAAAGAAATTACAGAAAACATAGAACTATTTGAAGTGCCGAAACACGTAAATGTTTATCTACGCAACCTGGATAAAATAAAAAAACATTAAGGTATAAATTTTTTATATATTACAGATGATTTGATTTTTAAAATAGTTTTTTATATTAGATATACATTTACAAAGTTTTTTTTATATTAAATGTACTATAACACTTTTATACCATTATAACAACAATTATTAATATTAGAATAAAATTATTAATTTTATAAATAATAGTTTTTATTTTTTAGCTCAAAGAATTTATAAAGAGACTATATGAAGCATTGTCTTCGCATTAATTTTGTAAAACATTAACGTTGTTGTTTAAAGTTTTAATGGGACACAAAAACTATTTTACACTATTTGACAAATCATAAAATGATAAAGTATTCTTTAGCGGTAATAATCTTCTAATAAAGTATTCCATAGTAGTAATAACGGAAACTATGAAATGCAAAAGTACAATTAAAATAGATTACAGGTTTCTTACCTTCTAGTTTCTTAGATTTTGGATACTTGGTTACATGTTGGTTACGTGTTGGTTACATGTTGGTTACATGTTGGTTACATGTTGGTTATTTGGTAACATGTTGCTTAAAAAAATTGTTAGATTCATGTAAGAAACTTATTGATGTGGTAATAACAACAAACAATTCAAATGTTACTGGATGTATTAATGCTTACAGTTTAAAAACAAAATGTTACTGGATGTTTTAATGCTTCAGGTTTAAAAAAACGAAGCAGCCGCCTACTGAATTCGTTAAATAATTGTAAAAAATCAGCTACATCGATTGTCTGAAATTGAATTTTATCGATCAGATTGATGCACAAACGTGAGTTTACAAATGCAAGAATAGGAACAAAATACATTTAGAATATTTTAAATTAATGGAAATTTGTTAATCTGAATTACGTGACATTCTAATTAGATTAAACAAAAATAAAATAAAAAAAAAATGATTGTAATTTTTGTAAATAGTTTTTATATGTATTATTAGATAACTAGAATGAAGGTTTTGAATTATTACAGCTAATTCTACAGTAAAGAACTTTTTGAGCTTAATTTTATTTGATAAATATTTACTTTACATCCAATACTTAAACATGCTTTAAAAAACTTATAGCAAACGCCTTTATGAAAACACATACCAAAAATCATCATAATAATAAATAACAAACACCATTATAAAAACTCATAGCAACACCTTTATTAAAACACATATCAAACACCATTATAAAAAAAACATAACAAACACCATTTTAAAAAACAGGTTCATTAAAAACACACAGCATACACCAATATAAAAGCACATAGCAAACACCATTATAAAAAGCATACATCACCATTAAAAAAAACAGATAACAAACAACATTATAAAAAAACACCTTTATGAAAAACATGCAGCAAATACCATTATAAAAAACACACAGCAAACACCATTATATAAAGCACGTTAAAAAAAAAGGGTCTTAAAAAATACACAGCAAATACCAATATAAAAAACACATAGCAAACATCATTATAAAAAAAAAAACATTCCAGACACCTTTATAAAAAACACAGTCCTAACACCATCATAAAAACACATAGCAATCACTTTTATAAAAAACACATAGAAAACAGTATTCGCTTTATAATAGTATTTGCCAAACACTATTATAAAAACATATTACAACAACAATTTAAAAACTCAGATTTCTATCTCGATAACAAATATTGAACAATTTAATCATGTTAATTAGTAAACATTTATCTTTTCCATTTTTTGAAATATTTACGGTATCTTAGGAAAAAAAAATTATTTATATATAAAAGTTATTTATATAATTAGATGAAATTTCTTCAAACGAAGCACTGATAGTGGTTCTTTAAAAAACCCAATAAACGACTTTAATCTGAATGAACATTTTAAACTGTTTTACATAACTTCTTCTTGGATAACAGCAGCACAAGAAGGAGATTGGGGCAGAATGAGACCTAAAAATAAAGAAGAGGAACAAAAAGTTGTCTGACCGAATCCAAGAGTTTATAAAAGCAGAGTAATTTTCAGCAAAGGCAAAAAATATTTGCCCACAAAAAGAATCCAAGTCAGCACTAAAGTGCAATGATAGGGCGAGTCTGAAGAAGAAGTACAAAATAAAAGATCATTAAGATTATAACATTGATCATGATGTCATTAAAACCATGATCTGATTCATCTATAAGATCTGATTCATCTAAAAGAGGACAAGGAGAAACTGAGCACAAGTATTGTTTTTGCTTTTTAAGTGTTAAGAATTGTTTTTTATACAATTCAACAAATTTTTCAAAATTTTTTTTGTTCCAACAAATCCAAAATTGTTCCTACCAAAACCAAAATCGTTCCTAATATTTCTTTTCGTAACATCAATTTGTCTTTGAAGTCTTAAAAAATGAGAATTTTTTGCAAGTTATTTAATTCTGGTTTTTACTTTTTTATAAAATAAATAATATAGAACTTAGAAATGACTTGTTTTCAAAAAGCTCTAACATTTACTTCACACGTATAAAAAGATGAAATAAAAAAAGTTCTTGACTCAAAATGTATCATATGCCTTAAAATACAAATTACAGTAACCAGCCATAGAATAAAATTTTTTATCTACAGACCTGGCCATTAAATTATCATAACAGTAAAAAGTTAAGAAAATTTACACTAGCTTGCACATATTCATACAAAACATTTTATTTCATCAAATTCTTTTAATAATGTATAAATACAATAACAGTTCAGCAAAAAAACTGCCAAAAATTGTGGTTAGCACCAGTACTGTCAATAAAAAACTAATACATTTTTATTGTTCTAAAAGTTCTAACATTTACTTCACACGTATAAAAAAAATGAAATAAAAAAGTTCATTTTTACTATCCACTACTTAGTATACATTTTTACTGATGCACTACTTAATTCTAATTGGTTATTATGGCACCAACATTTTTTTACCTCTTACATGCATGAATTTTGTGCTTTGTGAGCTTTTTATTATGTTTTGTTACATTAACGACATTTATATATTTTTATGTTACACAGGTGATTTGCTTACTTTTACTCTTCCTGCTAAATAGTCTTTACATTAATCTATGTTTTTTTTACCTAAATGACATCATCTTCAATCTGTTTTTATTTTCACATCTCCCAGGTCTACGTAACTGGATGGCTCCGTTGGTCACTTTTTGCGATCATTGTGTCGCATAAGCAAAAAAATTTATTCTTTGTGGCTGGTGAGCCCCGACTTTTTCCAATGTACACCACAACGACGAAACGGACATTAGGCTATCCCGGTGGATGTGGTTACGGCACTCAATAACCTAATGACTTGGCTAACACTCACGCACACGTTCAGTCGGAAGCTCCACAATGCACATCGGACCAGCGCTCGCTGACTATGTGCTCTGATCTGAAATCTCACTTAACAGCACATCATTCCACACCAGCACGGGGAAGTAGCTCTTTTGTCTAAGAGTGATGGCTTGTGGCCTATGGTGACTAATGTGTGCATTCGATCAATTTAAATCCATTCTGTTGGTCTTACGTCTGGCTCTGTATGTGCTAGCCCATAAGCGCAAGAAAATAGTGTGTTTAGCTTTTTATTTACCCGATTTGAAAGTGATCGGAAACATAACAAGACCATACTAGACGACAAAACGGTACGTACTAATGCATTACACCATTACACCTGTAGATATCAACAGTCTTCAAAAATCAGTATATCAAATATTTGTTCTTTGTTACATATAATTTACACACAGAGTGACTAGAGTGTTAGTTGTTTTTCCCCCTGCCCCCCGAGCATTTAACTTCGTTCTTCACCTTCACAAAAGTCTAATCACTCATTTTTATACACCATCTTCTAACTCTTTTTATTATCGCAACTCTCAGGTCTACGAAACTGGACGGCTCCGTTGGTCACTTTTTGCAATCTTTGTGTTGCATAAACAAAAAACATCAACAGCCTCTAAAATCAATATATCAAATATTTGTTATTTGTCATATACTTTTGTTCGTAATCTTTTTTTACCTTATCCTTGTATATTTATTCAGATTTGTGTTATGTGTGAATGAAGCCGTATATTTGTGAGAAGCATAACAGTTTTTTTCTCTTTATTCTTAAAACATATAAATGATAGGTATCCTCTGTAATGTAATGTAAAATAAATATTATAATAAAATATTTATATTGAAAATGTTTTATAATAGAACATAAGCCACAAAAATGTATGTTAAGAAAAGCTACAAGAAGATATATTTAGAAAATAGATTAAAAGAAGATAAGCTACAAAAAGATATTTTAAGAAGAGAAGATGCCTTTAGAAGATCTATTTTATCTAATATTTAATGTATAATATTTAATGTAGATATGTTGATAATTTGTAAAACTTTAAACTTTTTTGTAAAATGTTAAGTTTTTGTCAAAATTCATTTACGCAAACTTTTTGTTTTATTAGTTTTAACGTTAACATTATGGCGCGCAATAACGTAATATTTCAGCGCCCATTCTGTAAAATACCAAAATGCAAACACCGAAAATTATCGTTCCAAGAGTTTACGAACTTCACCGAGTTTAAGGTGCGCCGTGTACAGGTCCGCCGTATTTTTTTATTATATCTATAAAACATATTTCAGCCATAATAGAAACGGTAAGTTACTCTTAATTATTAATTACTATTCTCTATTCGCTTTGTGTTATTTTTGCACATTAAAATTGTTTATTTTTTATACAAGCGCATACGTGCATGTGTACAAGTTTGTCTCTTCTATATTAAGTGTACATTACATTTATATGTGTTTACATATTTGTTTATGGTCACAACACGCGCATCCCTCGCCACCCTCACGAAATCTCTAAGAATGTTGGAGCTGTATTAAAAACTGGGATAGGAATTGGGTGTTTTGGCTTTTGAAGTGTAGTCCTTTTATATTGTAATGTTGACTAGCATGACGTAGAATGCAGGCGGTGAGATCTGTTGCAAGGACACGCCCCTGACGAGTGGCGCTAGTGCTAGTGCCGGATTAAGGCTTTGTTGGCCCTAAGGCACATTTTAATAAGTGGCCTGAAAATACAGATAATACGGACTTTCCCACAAAAAGAAGAGAAGTAAAATTTAAAAAAGAATATTTATTAGGCAAAAACTACATTATTTAAAATTTTCGCGCTTTTATAACTGCAAATTTGTCAATTAGTTCTATGAAGTTGACCTTGTTGAGCAAATCACTTTCAATGCACAGAAGTGAAAGTACAGAAAGACGCTGTTGAGCCATTGTTGATCGTTTTACATCTATCTAATTATATATATAAATCTAATTATTTTCAATTAAGAAAACGAACGTTCTCCTGAACAATTGGTTAACTTCAGACATAAGTAGATCCGGAGTGCTATTTCAGTATTTGGAAATGCTTGATATACACCAAAATTGTGCAGCATTTTAAACATCTTCTGAGCACATGAATCAACTTGATTCTGTGCACTTGATCCTTCTTCATAGTTTCTCTGTTCTTTATACCAGCACATAAATTGTCGAAATTCTGTTGGAAAATCAGAACAAAGGTCTTTCGAGTACACAGTAACCATTCCTTTAACAGCAATGTCAATATCTTTATCGGTCATGGAGTCATACTCAGTCAGAACTCCAAATCTCTGCAGCACAATTTAGTAAGCTTTAATGCGTTTCTTTAATGCATTTTTCAGCTGATCAATGATGACATAGAAGGTATTGACCTTGAAGTTTTTCTGGCTTGACATCCTTTCAATAGCATTTGCGGAATCTCCATCATTGATTTGTCTCTTACGCTTTGGTTGTCTTCGACTTTCAGATTTATATGTGCTGTTGCCACAGCGATCACCTGCCTTCTGATTATAATCATCAAACTTCTCTCGGCATTCATCCAAAAATATATGCAAGCTCTTCAGCAAACCAATAGCTGGAGTTAACTCGATTGTAGAACTTTGCAATAACTTGCTATTAATGTTGAACCTCTGCAAAATGTCATTCCAAAGTTCAAAATAGGGC